CAGCAGGTGGGTTGCTCCCACCATCTGTTGCTCTCCGTGCCTGCCTTGGTTCTCTGATGTATGTGCTTCCATGTGTGTAATTTGTCTTAGCCTCTTGAGCTCCACGTACCATAGCTACTTTCTGGCATGGTATAGAGGGCCTTCTCTTCCTCTGCTACCTCTTCCATTCCCCAGGCCAGCTCAGCATGGCTTGGCAGCCTCTAGGGGTAGTGCTGTTGAGCCAGTGGGTCGTAGGGCCCTTCCCAGACCACAGTAGTACAGGGAGTGAGGAAGGACCTGTCCCTCTGCACACCACAGACTATCCCTTTGCAAGCCAGTCCCCTGCCACTGGCCATGCTTAGGTATAGGAGCCAGAGGGACAATCTAAGGGCTTTGCCCCACCTCTGCAGGGGGGAAGAAATCAAATGCTAGCACTTGCCACCCACAGGGCCACGTCACACTTGGGGGAAAGCCACAAGCTTGGGTCAGCAAACTTGACATCAGATGGCACTTGGATGAGGGGAACAGGAAAGGGACTGAGATCCCAGGCAGGGTTCTGTCCTTGTACTGTGGACCACTCTGTTTAGGATCTCTTTTCCCACTCCAGAGCTTGGTGAGTCTGGAAACGTCACAGTTCTCGGGCTGCATGGTAAGCAACTCATAGGGTGTGTTTAGCTAATTAACGTAGGCCCCCGTGCTCTGAGCTGCACTATCATTTACATCAGAGTGACTAAGTAGAGGAAAACCAAGGGAAGAGGCAGCCAGCAGTTGCTTGTGGTTTCAAAGAACATGTATTTCAAATGGCGAGATCTTCAGGTCTAGTGTCAGGAAAAGCCCTGAGTACCTCCCCAGCTTTTGACACCTCTTGGGGTGGTGGGCCAGGGTCCCTGGGGACGTGCCTTGCCCTGGAGGCCCATTGCCATCCACCAGAGTGCAGTGCAGTGTGCTGTCCCTTGTGTTGGTGCAAAACTAGGCTGACAACAGCGGGGCTGGAGACACTCACTGGATCCCTTGAGGGTCGGGTGCCAGGGGATGGTGGCTCAGACACCTCTAGCCCTGTGTTCCTGTGACCTTGGAGATGCGTAGCTTTGCACAGAAAGGGGCTGTCCCACCAGGGGCTGTGGCATAAACCTGTAACGCCAATACTCTGCGAGGCTGAGGCAAGAGGATTACAAGTTGGAGCTTGGCCTGGGCAACTTAGTCACTTAGAGAAACCCTTCCTCAAAATAAAAACATACAAATGGAGCTAGGGATATTGTTTATTCCAAAGGCTCTGAGTTAAACCTCTGCTATCACATAGAAATAACTCCTCCCTGGTGGAAATTTGCCTGAAACCCAAACCCCTCAGCCATCCTCGCCGCAGCTTATCCTGAGGTTCAGCTCTTGCCAATGCCAGGCACATTCCCAAAGGAATAGGATTTCTACTCTTGCTGCCCCTTTTGAAGCCTGTCATCTATCTATCAGCAAATTTTAGAAGATGGAGTGTATTTTCAAGCCTTTCCCCAAAACTACCCTCCACCACCTACTGTGTGGTTAACTCTTGGAGGGAATTTCTAGAAAAACAAGGAAAGAACAGAAGCTGTGGAGAACACAGATCCTAGAGCTCAGAATCTAGAACAACCTGTGCTCACAAGCCATCTGCCCACCAGCCTTCATCTCTGTCCTATAGCCCAGAGGTTACTGGTTCCCACTTGTAGTTCATGTGGAGTGCGTCACTCAGGGGCAGGCAAACAGGGAGACACCACTGGCATATGGAGGGCCACCTTCGCTTCGCAAGGGAAGGAACTCTGAAGAGGTGAGCACCTGAAACAAGGCCTGTCTTGGAACCCAGAGTCCACAGGCAGGGGATAAGGGCTCTGCAGATGGATGGTCTTTATTAAGAACCGACCCCAAGTATCTTAGAGACAAATGAAAATGAACAACATTTTTAAACCTCTATTTTGTGAAGTCTGATGGCTCTGGCAATGTTGACTGGCTGGTCCCCTTTCCCTTGGGCTGGTAGGAGGGAGTGCTGGGAGACTTCTCTGAGGTTGCTGGAGTGTCCACCTTGCATGCTAGGTGTCCAGGCTCAGGCACCCCAGTGCTGTTGGGAGGTGTCAGACAGAACTTTCTCTTCCAAAAATATGGCTTCTGAACCTGGGGATGGCCCAAGAGTCCCCCCAGCTGGCCTTTGAGATTTCCTCAAAGTTAGTTGTTAAAAGGAATATGGGCAGGTATTCAGCGGGGAGTTAGAAGCCCAAATTCCCAACCGGCAGCTTTTGCTGACCACGAGGACCCATAAGGCCCCTCAGGCGATCAAGCACAGAGTGCCTTTGCGTGCCTCAGCAGGGTCCGTGGGCTCTGGGGCATGGCGGCCTCCTGTGAACAAGGCTGGCAGCAGCTGAGCTCTTCTCCTTAGCACAGGATGAGTTAAGCAACCTTTTTGTTTTCAGGCACCTTCAGGACTCAGCAGGACAGGCCCTGCATCCAGGGCCCATTCTACCTGAGCAGGATGCAAGGAAAGAAATGAGCTAGGGACAAGGCATCTTGAAAATAACGAGCCCTCCACCCAGCAGTTTTCCCTCTCGCTCCTTCATCAAAAAGTTCTACTCTGGCACCAAAACCCTTGCTGCTGGTCCTGACCAGTCCTGATTGTTTGCTTTCTGTTGGTGTGACGAGAGTTGCAAACACCCCCTGGGGTATCTGGAGACCCTGCAAGGCTGTGCTTCTGCTTCTTGGTCTCAGGGCACCAGGCAGCTTCCTCCTTCCGCACCTGACCACAGACAAGGTTCTGGCAAACCTGGCAAATTCCTGAGCACCACCACACGGGGCAGGATTGGTTGGTCCATCTTTGAACTTCAAGCTAAACTGTCGCAGTGCCATCTCAGGGTGGATCCTAAGTCTCCCTAGTGAGAGGATGGTACCTTGGACAGCGGCAGTGCTCTTGAATGGAGATGGAGATCCTGCACTTGGAGACAAGCCTTGATTTATTCAGGTGACAAATCAAGGCTCAGGAAGTGATCAGGGAGGGGGGCCCTTCCCTTGTCCCCAGGAGGTTATCAAGATGCCTAGATCTGCATGAAGCCTGAGTCTCCTGAGCCTGGGGCCATGATGCACACTTGTCATTCATGGTACACTCTTGTCCTTGCATGGGAAGCAAGGGCTTCCCTTCCCAAGTTAGGAGATGGAGACTCCATAAAGAAAACCTCCTGGGAGCTTTTATGTTTCACCAAGAATACTGCTATGGCTTTATTGTTCAAAGAAGGCTTTCTTGGTGTTTGTGTTAGACTTGCTGGCTGTAGAATAATAGAACAAATAGAACAATGGCTAATATGTCAAACAATGTTTTATGAGACTTAAATTTGAATGCTAGTACTTCACTATTCTTGCTTATTTTATCTGTTCTACAAGCCTAAGAGTGTGCTACTGCACATACTTGTCTGTTCTGATAAGAAAACCAGAATCCAACCTGAGTTCTGCCTTGTAGTTGGTATGACATGAGAAGCTAGAGAAACTGAGGCAAAGAGTTGCATTTAATTTTGAAATGAGCTCTGGCTCTAGAGCTCTTGTTCCTTACTTGTTCCTAAGTAGAATGTTATTCTTTACTATTGTTCTTGGGATGCTGTCATTCCTGCCTGTGCTATAGGAGTTGTACCCAATAAACCTGGATCTTGCTTCTATGACTTTTCCTATTAAAGAATGTATAATGAAGAAAGACAAAAAAGAAAGAAAGAGGATCACCTGGGCCTTTCCACCCTTGTCCTGCTGGGATGGAGGTGGGGTGCTTGGAGTGCCACAATCACTTTGTAACTAAGAATGTAGGAGATGGTGTTCTAAGTCAAAGGAGCTCTAGCATAGTGTCCTATTTATCTTAAAAGTAGGAGGCACCTGGGCCGGGCCACCTCCCCACTTGGCCTTGCCTGAATTGTCCTGTCCCTCACTCCTTCCACTGTCTTTTTAAAACTTCACAAACATGGAAAAGATAAGAGGGGAAGTAGGACCAAGGAAAGGAAGTAAGAACCAGGCCACAGGCCCACATGTAGCCATAAATCTCAATGCCTGAGCTGTGACCTCACACACATAGGTAGGCACGGCATTCCAGCACTGTCGCCGTGGCAACCGGGGAACCTATATGAGCCAAGGGAAGCAAAGACATGTGGCCTGTGCGCTCCCAGTGTGTGAGGAGGTGAGCGCATAGCAGATGCCGGAAAATAATAAAAACTCTGTTATTCCTATAATTCGGTCTCCCATGGACAGTATATCTGGCCATTACAAGAGAACCCAGTTGGTGAGGATGGCTGAGCAAAAACCAGAAGCCTGTGTCTGCAGTGACACCTCTGGGTTTCCAGCTCAGCCTTGGACTTTCTTTTTTTTTAAAAACAACAACAACAACAACAACAACAACAACAACTTTAAGTCATTTATTTATTTGGTACAGGGTCTCACCATGCAGCTCGGACTTGCATGAGGTACCAGGGATCGAACCCAGGTCCTTGTGCTTGCCAGGCAGTTGCTTAGGGCGCCAAGCTACCTCCTCAGCCCTGCCTTGGCCTTTCTATCGCATGGGATGAAGAGCAAAGCCCTATGTGCTTCAGTCAGAATTTTCTGTGCAGGAACAAATAGTAAATCTTGCAGGTTTTCAGGACATGCAGTCTTTGTCACAGCCACTCAGTATGGCTGGTATAGGGCGAAATCAGCTGGCACGACCCATCAACAAATGAGCGTGGCTGCGTGCCAATAAAACTTTATTTAGACACTAAAATCTGAATGTCAAATCATTTCTATGTGTCACAAGGCACTGTTCTTTCTTTGATTTTTTTTAACTGTCCTAAAACATAAAAAATTTATGCCTAACATGCAGCTCACATCGAAACACTGCAGATTCAGCTCCTGCACTGTATTTTGGGCCCCAGTTTATGCTCAGTTGCCTTTCTGTTTCTGGCAGCTTAAAGCCATCTTCCTTGACACCACATGTGACACCAGTGCTCCTAATGGGGAGCCAATCACCGCTAACCCTTCCTGCTTCTCTGTGTCTGTTTCAGAGGGTCTTGCTGTTGGAGTCGGCTTTGGGGCTGTAGAAAAGACTGTGTCAGCCACCTTCGAGAGTGCCAGGTAAGCCCACGCCTGGTGCGCTGGTTTGGCCCCACACCTGTGGGTGCTCTGTTTACATTTGTCACCTGGGCCAGCTGCCTGCACATGATTAGGAAGCTCCTCCAGCCTCCTGGGCTGAGGAGGGCACAAGGGCAGGAAGCCACTCAGTCAAACAAGCAGGTTTGTACCAACTTTGTCAACGGCATGATCTACTGCAGGGCTGTTTGGAGAATAAAATATGGGCATAATTGCATGCTGTGGCCTAAGCATGGTCCCCAAGCACAAAGCAGAGGCCAAAGTGTCGTGGAGGCAGCGACTGACCTCTTAGTGGTGTGCACTCGGTCTCGGTCTCTCTCTCTCTCTGTGTCTCTGTGTCTCTTTGTGTCTCTGTGTCTCTCTGTCTCTGTCTCTGTCTCTGTCTCTGTCTTTCTGTCTCTGTTTCTCTGTATCTCTCTGTCCTTGTCTGTCTCTTGGTTTCTCTCTGTGTCTCTGTCTTTCTCGCTGTCTCTGTCTTTGTCTCTTTTGCTCTCTGTGTGTCTCGCTTTCTCTGTTTCTGACTCTGTCTCTGTTTCTATCTCTCTGTGTCTCTCTGTTTCTCTGTCTCAGTCTGTCTGTCTCTCTCTCTCTCTCTCTCTCTCTCTCTCTCTC